TTTGGGGACTCCGTAAATCCCTGGGGTAGCTTAGTCCACCTTAGCTGCTGTTTCCTGCCTGTTTCCAAATCCTCCCATTTGAAGGCAAAAAAAGTCCCTACTTTCCTCAGCTAAGGGGCAGGCCCAGAATGCATCCTTCACATCTATCACACTGAACCACCCATGATCATGAGGGATCTTGCTCAGTAGGGTATATGGATTAGGTACTACAAGATAATGGGGTTTTGATTGCTTATTTACTTCCATTAGGTCCTGAACTAGCCAATAAGTTCCATCCGTTTTCTTTACTGGAAGTATAGGAGTGTTATGGGGAGACATACAAGGTTCAAGGGTGCTGTTCAGCAGTAAGGATTCAATCACTGGTTTAAGTCCTTCTTTCCCTTCTCTTAGCATATGATATTGTTTTACCCTGATAGGGCGTGACTCCTCTTCTATTGTACTTTAATGGGGGGAATATTCAACCCTCCCCAATTCCCTTCCTTGGCCCAAACCTCAGGTTTCATCTCCTTCTCATCCTCCTCCCATAATTCTTGTAATTTCACCACCATTTTTCCTTCATCAGGCACCACACCTATACCTAACTGCACTTGTAAATCTCTACCTAGCAAATTACATCCTGCCCCTGGTGCTAACAACAAATCATTAACAACATACTGATCTTCTCCTCGTATTAACACATTCTTTGTAACTGGGACTGAAAACCCTTCCCCTTTAGCCCCTACAACCCGGGTTGTATCTTTTCCCTCTTACATCCTAATGGTAATCTAGTTATACATGTCCTTTCAGCACCAGTGTCTACCAAAAATATGTAATTTTCCTCCTGGGGTCCCAATTTCAAATTTCTCAAGGGCTCTTCCTTTGATGCACCCCCCAGGAGATAGAGCCCCTGACACCCCTAGCGATTACCACCCTCATTCTGTTGGGTTTCTTTAAGCACTAACAGGTCTTGTGCTCTCTGTGGGCATTCTCATTTATAATGCCCCTCCTTCGCACAATAAAAACATCCCCTTGTAATTTCCCTGGCCAGTGGTGCCTCTTCTCTTGGTCCTACTTTCCCCTTAATTCCTGTGCCTCTTCCAAATTTGAAATTCCCCCTCTGAGATGCCCTGTTTTTTATTTCTAACAGCTTCTTGTATGGCTATCATAATTTTAGCTTTAGTTTTGGCCTTTTGTTCATCCCTCCTAACATATACTTTCTGTGCTTCTCTCAGGAGTTCATCCGAACTCTTATTATGCCAATCATCTATTTTCTCTAGCTTTTTCTTGATGTCTGGCCACGAGTGAATCACAAAGTTCACCCTGAGTAATTCCTGCCCTGCCACACTCGAGGGATCTATTCCTGAATATTGTTGAATATTACACCTCAATCATTCTAACCACTCAGTGGGTGTTTCCTCCTTCCCCTGCTGACCATCGAAGGCCTTACTCGCATTCTGTCCTCTCGGGGTTGCTTCTTTGATTCCTTTCACTATTAATGACCTATAGACACTCATATGTCTCCTCCCCCTCTTGTTCATTCTGATTCCACTGCAGAGGGTTTACAGGGAGCTTCTGTTCCTTGGGTATCCCCTGCTGATTCTCTCTCTCCCGTATCCGCATTCCTGCCGTTCTGATCATCTGTCTCTCTTCAGGGGAAAAAAGCATTCCCATCATCGACTGCATCTCCTCCCATGTATATATATTGGGTCCCAAAAATTGATCAACCTCTTCCAACAGCCCCACAGGATCCTCTAAAAACTTCTTAATTTCTTTCTTATACGCCCTCACTTCCACATTAGTAAGCGACACATTCACAAATCCTACCCCCCCTTGAATTCCCACCATTGGAACTTCTCGCAAGGGATAAATCCTAGCTTCCCTCTGCTCCCTTTCTATAGTCCTTAACTGATTCCTCCCCCTTCATCGCTGACGGGTTTCAGGTCTGATATTAACAACAGGGGCCTCCTCACCCGCATCTTCCTGCTGCACCCCTTGTTTTTCTGGCTGTGCCGGGTTATATGGGGAGTAGGTTATCCAAAGAGTCCCATCTCCTTTCCTTTCTCTCTCTTTTATATTCTTCAACCTGCTCCTCCTGCTTCAACTTTAAAATCTCAACTCTCCACGGCCCCCTCCCAACACGAGGCATATTCACACTCCTCTTGATTAAATGGCTCCTTTGAATTAATGTAAATATTAAGATCTTGACAAATCCAATCCTCATCTGATCCGTATTTTGGCCAATGCACCAAATCTTCCCTCATAGGTCCTTTAGTCCATTCAAACATGCAATAATTCACCATCTTGGTCTTACTCTTTCCCCTAGTACATGAGCTGAAATCCCAGTTTGCTAATTTCATTCCTAACGGACTATCCAGTGGAATACCACCTGGTAATTTCTTGTTCCCTTTCTTTCCAGGGCTAGGCTTACCCTCCCCCTGTCCCATTTTTCAGCCTTTCCCTAATGGACTGTGTGGGAAATGGCAGTCCTTGGCTCCCTATTATCCTCAGAACTCAACTGTCTAGCTTCTAGTGTCTTGTTTACTCAACTAGATAACTGAAGGGTCTTGTTTCCCCTTTTCCCTGGGAACTCAACTGTCTAGTTTCTAGTGTCTTGTTTACTCAACTAGATAACTGAAGGGTCTTGTTTCCCCTTTTCCCTGGGAACTCAACTGTCTAGTTTCTAGTGTCTTGTTTACTCAACTAGATAACTGAAGGGTCTTGTTTCCCCTTTTCCCTGGCAACTCAACTGTCTAGCTTCTAGTGTCTTGCCCCTCGGAACAGGAGGCCCTTACGTTCCTCGCCCCTCAAAACTCAACTATTAGCCTCAGGTGTCTTGTTACCCTTTTCCTCCCGGGGGAGCCGTTCACTCCATTTCACTCACTTTGTCTCTTCACTGGCCGTACCCCTCGCGGGAGCACGGACCTGCGGTTACAAAGACTCCGCAACCGCTTCGCCAGTGCGACCTGGGCCTCGCGTCTCACACACACACCCCTTTCAGTCCTCCCCAATATCCCGCCACCCGGATGGCGCTTACAGTGCTTTGTTCCCACCCAGGTCTTGTGCACAGGGTTTAATGGCTGAGGCAGTCTCCAGGGAGCCCTACCCCCCCGTCTTTGGTCCACGAGTCCCCCGCCGGGATCGTCACCGTCACCCTCCAACGGCGCGGGAGGGAACCCAAGAGACCACTGAACTCAGCGGGGAGCGCCTCCCGTTCAGGACCCTCTAGCCCCACGGCCGTGAGGCTTCTGTCATCCCGGACAAGAGAAACAAGCTCACATATATCAAAAAAAAATGTTTCATTGGGGACAGAGTCAGTGGAGCAAAGAATACAGGCGCAATGGTGCGCCTTGCCTTATAGCAGGGGTTTCTTTTTGCAGAGCAACAAGGAGGTTTCATTGGTTGAGCGAAATGGAGGGTTTCTTCTTATAGTTCCAGTCCTCCTCTTTGCACCTGCCCAGTTCCTTTTTCTTGGTTTCTCCGAGGCTGTCTCTCTCAGTCCTTTGCCACTGCTTCACTACTTTTTCTCACCAAACAGGCAGCTGCTGAGCAGTGGAAGCAACCACAATGTTATATGTAACCACTGGGTTCAAACATGAAATCAAACAAAGAATAATGCAATACGACTAAGCCAAGTAACAAGCCCACTCGCTTTCCTTCCCCGCCCCCCCCTTCTTCTTTGGCATTTACAGTTGGTCTTGGTGGTCCTGTGAGGGGGTTGGTGGGGGTGATGTCCAAGTTCCTCTTCATCAGGAGTTCTTCGCTTAACCCTATTCTGCTGGCTTCCATTCCTCCCCACCCCGCCCAGCCAAGTTTCTCTTTACATGATGCCTAACCACAGATACCCCCACCGGGGACTCCTTGCTTGCCTGATTCCCCACAGTGCCCACCCATATGTCTAACTTGTGATCAGAAATGCTCGCTTAACTGTTACAATTTTAGCAACTCTGTGCTAAGAGCACTAATTTAATAACAGCTTTAGCCTAACTCAATAAAAGTAGTTGTTTAATTACTTTTAGCGAAAGCAAAATTCTACCATTACTTCTCACATACCTAAAGCTAAAACAACTTTCCTAAAACTGGAGTGAAGTTACCAGACCTCCTGAATGTCAGATAAAGCTGAGCTGCTTTTGGAGATGCAGAGAAATTTCTTCTCCAGAGCAATATCCTTGCAGTTCCCTCTCTGTGAATATTTAGCAGTTGTGGCTAAGCTACTCGGACTCTAAGCAGTTCTTAACTACCCTTTCCTTTAAATCTGATACTAGTTCTGGTAAATGCCACATGTTTAAACTTGCCTGAAGATGCAGTCTTGATCTCTGTAGTTCAATTTCTAAAGCCAAAAAATAACTGGGCTTGGAACACGCTATCTGTTGCAGGAGTAAAACAGTAAAGACAGTAAGGCTACTAATGTTTTAGAAAATAAGCAGTAGTGGAATTGGATGGTTATTTTGCAGCTGATGTGCCTAATACATAACTGAGAGCACGAAGAGATACAGCAGTGATGTTTTGTATATCTACCTAGGTCTTGTCAAGGGGGACTAGTGTAGAGAAAACATCAGTATGAGTAAGGAGAGTTGAATACCCCTAACAGTTTTTCGTTTTCTTACCTTGGATCTTGCCATCTTTTACTTCTAGTAAGTTTTGTAACTGTGTGTTGTATGGACATCCTTTTCCGATTTTGTTTCTTGGTTTGTGTTTTTTTTTTTTTCTTTTTCTGCTTCTGCAAGTTATAAAGCACTTCATTTCCCATTGCAAACAACAAGCTTTTTCACACTATGTGATGAAAAAAATTTTCTGTATACTGGGGTCACAGATTGAGACCTAAGCAAATTCAAGTGTCCCTTTCAAGGGAGGAGCAAGCACTCAATGCTTTTCCTTAGTTAATGCTTTGACCACTGGAAGATGTCATCTTAGACTAAAATGGTAAGTTTTGTAATATCGCGGGGGGGGGTGTGTGTGTAGGTTATTTGATTTATTTTTTTTATTTTGGCTATAACTATTCTCATTTCTAATTTCTCCAACAGGTATTGGTAGCCTTGCTGCTTCCTACCTGAATCCTGTAAAGTCCTTTGTGCCTCAGATGCCCAAGCTGCTGAAGTCTCTCTTTCCTGTTAGAGATGAGAAAAAGGGCAGGCAGACCTCTCCCCTTGCACAGCAGGTAAAAAATTAAATCAAACAGGCTATGCAGCAATATTGGCAAGTGCTCTTAGACTTGCAGGCAAAGTGCTATTTTATATGTTGTTGCAGTGCAAACCAAGCTTTTAGTCATAGTAAAGCCTTGTGATGCATTTCCCCTCCATCCTGTCCAGAGATAGTGGAGCTGTTTAAACTTATTGATACACTCAGCCCACTTGGCTTTTTAGAAGTGCCAAGTACACTACCAGCATGATTTATGGTAATACCACTTGCAGCAACAATAGTAAAATTTATGAAGTGCACTTAGTGTTGTTTGTGTATTGCCAAGTGGAAAATGTAATTCTATTTTTAATTCGTTATTTCATATACCATTCCCTCCCACCCCTCACCCCAGCTCATGTCACCTTTTACCATCTTCTGCTATGTATTTTGGACAGTTGGTTTTGTTCATTCTTGTATCTATTCCACATGTCAGAGAAGCATTTCATTTTCTTTTCTCTGGATGTTGTGCTGCAAAACTCCAGCTGCTCCAGATGTGGCTTCTGTGCTGTGAGCAGTAGCTAATGCATGGTCAAGCAGACTAGGAAAAGCTACTGGCTTTTAAAGAAAACAGATAAAATACAGAATCCCATTATAAATAATACGATCTCCTTTATTTGAGAGGCTGTAGTTTATTTACAAAGGAATAGTCCTCTATACTGTAAGTCTGGAAGATTTAACAAACTGTTACGAAGATAAATGTGGAGTCAGGTCTCACCTGCTGAAGTTTGTGGAAGTCCTTTCTGTCCATGCTTTGTTAACCATCCAGCTAACTCTTGTCTGAAGTTCTGGAGACCTTTCTTCACCTCTTGACATGCAGACAAATGTTTTAAAGGATATCTTCCTCAAAACAAAGCGAAACAAACCCTAAAATCCCCAAGCAACTATTTTTTTGTGATTGGATCCAAACATTTTGTTCCGTTGTTTGCTACAACTAAAATTGCTGTTACAAGAATGTCCCAGGATTACAGGAAGTTATTTTGTCATTGTAGAAGTACAGTGAAATATTAAATAAACAAACAGAACAGAAATAAGTACACTAACGCTTAAATATTTTAAAAAGTAACTTATGACAGACATAGCACAAATAAAAATAAGGCAGTTTAAAATATTTTTTTTTATTTTGACTTTATTAATTAAAATATTTTTATTTTGAATGTGGTTTTATTCTCTACAAAGCAATAAAAGGAGCAGATTTTACTCCATGTCTAATTTAATGCTTTACATTTTCATGTTGCCTTTTGCTTACAACAGCCTTAGTTTTGAAACTGGAATTGTATAAACTTACTCATCTATGAAATTTAGAGAATTAAAATTAAGACCGTGGCTTTCTTTAAAGGTATTTGGGTATCGAAAGATGCAAATAGGTGCTCTTTACAATTGCACTGAGAGCCTTTCACAACTTCTTGAATTCTTATTGAATCAGAGAGCTGAGATTAGAAGCGAGGCCTAATTTCCTGCCTCTAGTCCAACCACCTGTTCCCACTCCTTCCTACTGTTCAAGATCAGTCTTGCATTATTTGTCTTGAAGTCAGACTTTTAAACTACAAAGACATCTATTTTAAGAGATTTTCATTTATATTATGGATTACTATGGAAACACAAGTAATCAGGTCATGATCACAATAATTTTTAATAGGAGGGAATGCTATTTCTGCTTTGTTTTAAAAAATGTAAAAGCTAATATATTAAATATAATAACAGGAGTCTGTGGTGTTTTAATGCTTGGTTGCATTGGAAAGCAACCAGTTTTTCCATGACCACTGGATCCGTGTAATAAAATGAAATGTTATAATTATTTGCTCCTCTTAGTTTTGTAATAGAACAAGTATTACAAATACACCTCAGTGGTTTGAGAAGTTTATAGATATTCTTTGCAGCTCTATCAGTAAGGGGACAGGGCTGCTTCGCTCCTCTTAGCAATCACAGCGCACAGAAGAGAGAGCAAAAATTGGAGAAACGGCTGCAGAATTAGCCACAGCTTCTTCTGTGCAGCACAAGAAATAAATACACGCTGTTGTAGCAAGACTGGCTTTAAGATCATAAATATCATGTCTCGTAATCTTTCTTGCTGTTTCTTTATAATGGCCTGATGATGCAAATGTGGCCAGAAGAATTGAAATGGTGGCGGTGATGAATGGCTATTGTACTCGGTGGATGATGGGGCTGCTGTGGGGGTCAGTGTTTGGCAATCAGCTCTAACACCTTATCGCTAACCTGCCAGAGCGCGACGGCAAGCTAGTAATTCTTGCATAACTGTAGTAAACTACACAATGGAAAGGACACAAAAAATGATATTTCTGAGGCTCAGAAAATACAGAATAATGCATCTTAGTTCCGCGGAAGAATAAAACTTCAATACACAGTGGCAGGGGACATAAATGATTGCGAAGGGTGAGAGTAGGTGGTAAGCTACAAAAAGTGTAAAGGGGAGGCGAAGCCAAAGGGATATTTTGGCTGTAATTGCAAAGGAATCTGACCCCTAACTGGGAGTTGATGGACCTCTGTTGCCGTAAACAACAAATTGAGAGACCTAGGTTGAGGAATAGAAATGACTAAAGGAATACTTTACAAAGAAAATGGAAGGATCTAAATCTTCCTTTCCTGGCTAAAAGCAAATGAGCAGGTACATAATAACAGGTTTTTAAACATAAATACCAAAAATCTAAGTGGATCTGTTTATTACTTTCTCCTGGTTCATCAGACAACTACAGTGAAAGAGAATTTCCAAAGTTCTTGTCAAGCTCACTTTTCAGTGCATATCTTTTACATTGTTTGAGAGTACTTAATGATCTAATGTCATTAATACCCATTCTGGAAAAATGCTGGTGAGCCATCTTGAACTAGATGGCTGGCCCAGCTGCAATATTAAATCTCCAATATGTTATGGTTAAATTATCAGGGTTAGATGTCTGTAGAGCCCTGCAGAAAGCATCATAGAATCACAGACTGGTTGGAGGTGGAAGGAACTTTAAAGACCATCTAGTTCCAACCCCCCTGCCCCGGGCAGGGACCCCTTCCATTAGACCGGGTTGCTCCCAGCCCCGTCCACTGGCCTTGAATCGGATTTGTTTTGTTGCGCCTTGTAAGCAGGGTCTTATGGCTAAGTTGATTTTTAGTGCTTTTGAGCATCATTTCCAAGGGAGCAGTACTTAACCTTTGTCCAAGTTTATGACTGAATTCATCATGGCCAAGCAGCTCCCCAAGCAGATGTGATACTGAATCTCTGATGCTGTGCAAGTAAACAGAAGATGGTGGCGTTCTGATCGCTCGTTCTGAAAAGACGTTTTTTTTTTTTTTTTTTTAATTTAGCAGCTTTTTATTTCAATCATAGGCCGTTGCTTAAGCTGGCATCAACCTTAAAGTAAGCGAGCACATACAGAAGTTATCTTAACAAAATGGTCTTTCCCAGTGCTGTTTGTGTCTATAGTCAGTGGTTGCTTGAGTTTCAAAAATGCAGGGACATTCCAGTCAAGGTGGTGGCAGCTAACAGAATTGCTGTCTTTGACCTTCTGAAGCAAGTTTAGTAACTAATCTGGAGAATAATGAACCGCAATTAATGAAATCTGCTCTCGTATTCAAGTGTGTTTCTCAGACAGCACATAAAATAATTGAAAGAACTTCCTGCTCTCTAATTAGTTAGATTGAATTAATTTGGCATAATAGGATTCTTTATGTAACTAGCAGAATGGCTTCCGATGAAGCTGTTTATGTACCTAAAAGATTGGTTTCTGATGAAGCTGTTTATATACTTTTAAGTTAGAAAATGCCTATTTTCTCCATTATCCGTTGCCTTTAAATTAATTGCCAGTAGTCTGTAAATAAAAAAAGCTAACAATTTAAACCTTTTTGGATCGCTGGAATTGCTTTTTATTTTCCTAGTCTATTCTTTAAAAAGCTTAGTACCGCAGTGTGCAAGATTTAAAGCCTTCCCAAACCTTATTTCTGATGGGGAAAAGTTTAAAACCCTTGTGTAAAATACGCAGGTGGATGGAGAATCAGCGTTTCATCTATATGTGCTTAATTATATTATGTACATGCTCTTGAAGCTTGTCTGTTTTATTAACACACTGAGGCTTTCATAGTGTGCACCAAGCAGAATTACTGTTCTTTACCTTATGACCCCGCTGATCTCCAGGAACTGCCCGTGTAATTACATTTTAGGGCATCATTGGGTGCTGACATTAAAAATGTACATATTAAATTTCAGTTTCTGTTTTTTGACATTGCTGTGACAGAAGCACATTCCTCTGACCAATGTGCATTTGGTAAGCGAATTTTGGTCACCTTCATACCTTGTTGGATGCTCAGATGTCTTTTTGTTAGCACATGGCTTAAATAAGAGATCTTGAGTCACGGCTATCTTAAAAAAAATAATAAACTCTTGGCATTTTCATGTGCTAATGTAATTCATTTTCGTATTGTGGTATAGAAATGCAGACATGTGACACATGAAGAGGGCAGGTCTCAATTTTTTCTCTTTCACCTTCTGATGCAGACACAGTAATTAATCTTAAAAAATAATGAAATGCAGTTAATGAAAACCTATCTAAATAGACAAAAGGCGTTTTCTGGCAGTGCATTAAAAAAATAACAGTTTCATGGATGTGCATGGTGCATAATGTAATTGCTATAACTGACATTCCTTAATCAAATGTAAATAAGGTAGCCTCAGAGAACCTTCTTTAAAATCTGGAAGGCTTTTTTCAGAGTTTCAAATAAAGAATCATTTGGATGCTATAATCAGCATAGCTCAACAGGTCCTCTGTGGACAGCTGAGCTCATATATGTCTAGTTCTTGTGACTGAGTTGTTAGTGTTTTGATTTCTTTCTGAGTTCAGTTTTCACTATCATCCTCATACAAATAGATTTTAATGAGAATGAGTATGGAAAACTGGCTTTTAAAGTTCTTACAGCAAACCACTGAAACTTCTGTATGAACTAACTTGAAAATGGTTATGAATTACCCTTTTAATCTGCCCAGACCTGGGAATGAAGTAATTTCACTCTGTAGAAAATAGTGTGGTTAATTTTGCATAAAGTGTGTTAGAAATGTGGAATTCAGAAGTATTATTACAGACTGAAATGTTCCACATATGGAAGGTGGAATACGAGGGTTTTGTTTGGGTTAATATTTAAACACACAGTGTTTCTAGAGAAGAAAACAAACAAACACCAAAAAAACCAACAAACAAACTTGTACTGGGTTTCAGATCCCCTTTTGGAATGCAGGAGATTTTTATATTTGAACGATTAATGACTTGAAAATGATTTTAAAATTGAGGGCAGAGAAGAATATTGTTGGGGGGGGACCTTTTTTAAAATGGATTCAACTTTTTTGACTATGTACTAGGGGATTCAGAATTCTTACTCTATTGCTGTATGTGTCTTGTTGAAAGTAATTTATCCTGAGTGCTCAAAACTGTTTTAAATCTCCATTTAATGAAGCAACTGTTATGCCCTGCTGCAGAAGTTTCCAATAGCTTCTTTTAAATGGTGATGCGAGTGTAATACTGTCAGTGTGTCAGTCCTTGAGCTCAGTCATTCCTATCTGCGGATGGTAAAGCTTAGACAAGAGCAATGGAGGTTTTCTGATAATACCCTTTTAGGATTGCATCAGCTATAACCTTGGCTAGACCATTTCTGGAGCCTGGAGGATAATTCTCGTACACACTGGCCCAGTCTGTTCTGTTAACTGCCACTGAACTTTCTGCATATTGGGTGTTAACACTGAAGGATTTTCATCCTGTGACATGAAGTCAAAAGGCTTTGTACTGAAGTCATCGGTCAACATTGTCAGAGGCGTTTTACAAAATGTTTAATGACATTGAAATGCCAAATGTGTTTTTCTGAGCTCATTGAACAGGTTGCCATTATAGATACGGAATATATGGTATTAAAAAGAGTTCATTTAGGATTCATTTTGGTGCCTCTGTATGCGGGGTGAGATACACGTTGGCTTTTCCTGTTTGAACTCGCCAACATACCAGGTTGGTCTCCAGTTTAGGCTAATCACCAGTAGCTACATGGCTTTTGGTCACCTCAGAGTATGTGCACACTGACCTCTCATCTGACCAGAAAATTCACACTTTTAGAAATCCTTATAAACTCACTGTACAGAGTAGCAGCTCTTAGGAAAAAGACAATTTTTGTTCTACAAAGATTCAAAGATGCTTTAAAGTGAATTGCTTTCATGTTCTGTCTCACTCTGTATTTTTGTCAGCTTGGTTGAAGAAATTGTGCCAAAAATTATCACTGTAAAAGGGTCATGTTTTGCCATTGTGTAAATATATATGTCTAGTTCAGCAGTCGCTATCGACAAACGTTTAATGACAGAATTTGGCTCTCGATTCAGAAATATTTTTAATCCAGTAAATGTCTTCACAGATAGTCAAACACATTGTTTTCAGTATCCCCCCCCAAGTAACTTGACTACATTTCATAATAAAGATTTGTTTTAGTACCCTTGCTCAACCCCAGTGAGAGTGTTTCTGCCCATCTGTTTCTTGTCAACACCAAAGTTGGGCAAGTGCCACTTCTCCTAATTGCTTTTTTCTCCATGTTTTTCTGAACATTGCTTGGCAAAGTTACTGTAGTTTTGAGGTCTGTCATCCTTTCAGGAGGATAACTTGATGAGGAATGATTAAAGTGTAACAGCTTTCTTCCTTTTGTTATTTGATATCACCTGGATTTTTAGATTTCATGCATTTACAGGCTGTAAAACTGAAGGGTTTTGAGAGATTAAAAAACCTAAGCAAACAGTTTCTTCAGTTTATTTGTTTTAAAGGGAAAAAAGGAAAGGAAATCAAAGGAATGGAGAAATATCTTTACATACTTTTTCTTACTCCAGTTCTGAGTGTTTATCTCTGGATAATACTGCTAGACCTCAGAGCACTTCCTGGGGATGGCACGTATACTGGGAGAAAATGGGGCAAAAAGATCAAGTTGTATTACAGTGCCAGTGTGAGAACCTGGAGCTGGCTTTAGCTCCTGATACAAGGTCTGCTGAAAAAGGCTGTTTCCCTTGCTGTATCAGATCACAAACAGTAGTGTGTGGAAGCAACAAGGACAGTGTTTTTCCATTGCACAACCTTTCTGAGATGCCAAAATGCAGTGCTTTTAGCATTGGAGCATGGAGATATTTAACTAGGATAATTTGAATTCAGGAGCCTTGGCGTCTCACTGAGGTTCAGCTGCACCTCTGCAAAAGGTTTAAAGTCCCAGCCTAGGGATTAGCCCTAATGCATTGCGACTACAGATATTTTTTTCATTAAGAGGTGATATTTAATAGCTTGGCCTTGCACTCCCCAGATGGACCAACCCATGGTTCAAAGATGGTTGAAGAGGAGAGAATAAGTGTTCTGCCAAATACTCTGCTCCCTTTAACACAGTGATAAGCTATTAAACCTAAACTTTGCAGGGGTTTCTCATAAGAAAGTTAATCCTTCTCCTCTCTAGTCTTTGTTAAAGTGAAACACTTGGCTGTTAGGACAATCAAGTTATCCTTGCGTGTCTGAGTTAATACTTAGGACGAGTCAGAGTCCTTACGCACCTCATTGCTCTAAGCTATCTCTGGACTCGGTCACAAGTCAGTACTACAGTTGTTTTCAGGTTAATATTTTTGTCTTAGAAGATTGCCACTTTACTCCAAAGGAAGCTGAAGTTCTGGAGTACAAGGTGTCTGAAAACCACTGGATCATGAGCCCTAAAGCTGCATTTATTTTTAGACTTCATTGATTGGTTCTGAATCGGGTCACCATCTGCTTCCTGGAGCTCCAGTTCATGTCCTAGTGAGGATCTCAAAATGCTAATACCGTGTGCACCCAAAATAGAGGCAGTTTGCTGTGAACCCCACTTCACTGGTGTACTTTCAGCTAACAGGTTTAATGACAGGCAAACCCCTCCTCTCTCGCTTTCTTTTATTGCTTTAATGTCTTAAAAAAAATCTTTTTGATCCACTGTGAACCTGTTGGAGGTTATTGTCCGACTTTTGTCTTTTTATTTCTTACCTTCAACAGCAGTGTTTTTATTTAATACCTGGCAATCTCTGTATAAATAATAGCTGTTCTTTTCTCCCGTGTTTATTTCTTTTGGGGACAGGATTAGTCATATTCTTGCTTTACTGTACTCAGAAGGGATGCAAGAGAAAAGTAACTTACTCTTCGGCTGGAAAGTTTCAGTTATTTAAACAGATTGTCGAATTCTGGAAATAGCTGTCTCGGAGATGAGCACTTTCTGTGTATTTCTACAGAAGTTCTCGAGTGCCTTGGAGAAAAAAGTAAAAAAGCACACTGCTCCCAAACTGTCACCCTTAAAGAGCTCTTTCCCTGAAAGCAGGAACCTGCACTTGCAGTACGTTATTTGATAGTGCTAAAGAGATGTTTCTGCCTTTTCTCCTCTCTCCTTTTCTTCATGCTTCCCTTTCCCAAGGTTCTCCGTTGAACTGGTGATCCTTTTCCCTCCTGTGTCAACAGTGCGTGACAGCCTGAGTTGACAGTTTATCCTAAGAGATACAGTCAAAGTGTCACAATTTGCTGTTATAGTCTTAGGAGAGTGATTATTTCAAACCTTTAACATAAAACTCCAAATACAGAGCAAGTGAGGGACATTCACTGTCAATGCCTTCATATCAGGCTCTGTGCTATAAAAGAGAAGATACTGTTGTAACACAGGAGTGGTTCTTCTGGCACAGGACCAGTATATTGTGGTTGTCAAATGGCATGTGTAGTCTTCACTCTAGCAGGCAGTGGTGAAGCCCTCTTTTCAAAGAGGATGCACAGATCTTGGTTTTCTGGCCTCCTTTTTGAGTTAAAGCAAACAATGCTAAAAGCTAAACCGAATTAAGATACTGGAGATGGAGAAAGGGTTTTGGAGATGGACTGAAGCTGAGGATTTCACTAGCCAGACCAGCATATCCTCAGATCTCTTTGTCATCTGGCTGCTCCATGGTCTGTCTTTCACCGACTAGACAAAGGAAAACTTTGTACACTATGATTTTGTACTTGTAGCTGCTTATGCGTTAAAATTCAGGGATGCCTTGGTTAAGGTGTTTAGCCCTTCAGAGCACGTGAGCACATTGCAATAAAATAGCATACTTCCGTGCTTCCTTCCATCCTTCTGTGACAAAGGTTTGTTTGTGATTCCAAAATTTCAAATATAAGGTTTAACATTTACCAGTTGACAATATTTAATCCTTTAAGAGAATGATGCTCTGGTTTGTTTTGTTTTGTTTCGTTTTGTTTTCTTTCCTTCCTGCAGGCTGTCCCACGAATTATGGTTCAGTCTGCCAGTATCGATGCCAGTGCTGCAAAGACAAAACAGGTAAGCACATCCCAGGGTGCGATGACACAATTTTCATATTCACATGCCTGGAAACCAGAGGTGGCAAAAGCAACTGCTGGGTTTAGCTACTTAAAACCTGTTGCACTTCTACTGTTGCTTCACTGCGACACAATTAAGTGCAATGTGTGTTGTTGTGTTTTGTTAGGTCTTGGTAAAACCTCCCCTTGTATCGCTGGTTATATTTTTATATTCGAAATCCTGGTTAATCATATGATTGCATTAGCAGTTAACTAGATAAAATTTAGCTGTTTTGCTCCTTTAAAAGGGAAATTGCTAGGCTCCGAAGCTTTCTATAAACAGAATGTGTCTGTTATTCTGAATGTTGAGCTTAATTCTCATTTTTACATTTCAAGCCAATTCATGATATCAGCGTGAAAAAAAGGCTCTTGCTAAGCTGGAGAGAAAATAGACCGTATGATCTCCCACAGTTCAGCAGAACTTCAGTCTTATGAATAGCAAATCAGCTTTCTCTCACTGTGTTTTTATTGTCTTAGCAAAATGTGTGTTATCTGAATGCTTAAAAAGGAAAACCCAAAGAAAGAGCAGAGCTCCAGAATCCACGTGTATACCATCCTTTCCATAGAAGAGCTAAAAATATGTCTTTAATCCGCAGGAATATTTCAAAAAACTTTTCTGTATTACATTTCACTTAGCAATAGCAAACTAGCCTTTGGTTCTGAAATTCCTGTAATTCAATCAAATCCCTCTTCCTTCAAATGCTGCTTACATTTCCAGTGGAAAAGGCGCTTCAGAATAAGGTGAAAATCCTGTAGTTTGGGACACTTAACCACTAGATGGGATAAACCATAAAATTTTGAACAAAAATGTACACCTGAGAGGTAAGACAGGATACGTACAAATCTGCCGTCCTCCAACCACTTTTTCTTCCCCTTCATATTAGCAGCCTCCTCCCTCCCTCCCAAAGAGATTTAGAGACATCCTAATCTTTTAGAGTACATGTGCTGGCAAAAGATATTGATCTATCAGATTTAGTAAACTTTACAGCCAAGAAATACATCACTAAAATGGGCTGTTAATCTCATGAGGTGCAGTTAATTTCATACTCCGAAAGTGTGTGGTGCTGGCGGCATTGAGGTGGGAATGGCATTTGGAAACGGGGACATAAATGACGTTTAGTTGGAGAGGCATGATTTATCAATCCTGCGAGTTAAGCCAAATAACTGTGAGAGACTTATAGATCATGGCTGTTTCACATTTCATATAAATCCTGCTATTCAAACAGCAAATGACCATTCCTGTAATATAAATAATTTTTCTGTAAATATTGAGGAACGTATTTCTTTTAGTTGACACTTTTCTTATTAATGGAAGAAATGAGCTGACAATCCTTCCAGGTTTGCAAAGCTGACTCCGGATCAACTTGCATCTTTTGGAGATTGCAGCTACACGGAGATTTAGATAAGCTGAAGGCCTTAGTACTTCCCAGAGGCCTTGTATCTATCCTTTTAGCCCAGATGTTTTGGATAACAGAGCTCCACAGTCTCTCTCCTCTTCTGTTTCAGATTAGCCACGAGGAAGTAGGGAAACAGCCATCTGAAACTGCAGTGCAGACATCTGAGGTGGACAAGAGCCCGGAAAAGACACCAAAAGTGCCTTTGCAGCAGCCCACAGGAGACACCCAGGCGCAGGACTCCCAGGAAGGACCTCCAAGTCCCCTGAGTGAAGCCTCCAGTGGGTATTTTTCTCACAGTGTCTCGACAGCCACCCTCTCTGAAGCTCTTGCAGCGGGAAGCGATGCTGTGGCTCAACCAGGAGGTCAGCTGCCAGCAGTGGGTGACTTCCCAGCTCCCGCCGTGGCTCAGGTCAGTTCTGACATGCCAGGGCACTCGGACAGTTCTTCAGAAAGCTGCCTCAGTACTAAGGGAGAGAGTCTGCCCACCTTCAGCCTTCAAAGTGCTCACTCAAGACCTAAAGACAGCACTGAAGTGAATGGAAATGCTGCTCTGAAATCAAAATCTTGCACATCTCCTGCGACTCAAAGTGAGCAGGCAAATTATGTCTCTGTAGCCGCTGATGCAAAAATCTTTCTTTCTACCTCCACTCCGAAGAAGGAGTTGTTATACAGTCAATTGATGGAGTCAGCAGCACAAGCTAGGAAAAAAGAAATGGCTTCTGGGGTTTCAGAACTGGGGTTTCCCAAAGCACAGATTGTTCCTGACCAATTGTCCCATCCCGGCGTTGCAGCCTCCCCCTTCAAAATCCAGAAAGTCAAGACATCAGAGCTGAAGTCCTTTACAAGTATGCTGGGGACGGATCCTGCGTGTTCACTAAACGCAGAGGAGCAAGAAGGAGAAAAGAGCACGTCCACTGCCCGTGGACTGAACCATAATGGATCAGAGATAGCAGAAGAAAAACTGGAGGTGACTTCTGACTCTGAAGATGCCAATGAAATTCCTGAGTGGCTGAAAGAGGGAGAATATGTCACAGTTGGTGCAAATAAGATGGGCACCGTTAGGTATATTGGGCCCACGGACTTTCAAGAGGGAACATGGGTTGGTGTCGAACTGGATTTACCTTCAGGTAAAACATGATCTAGACTGGGTGTAAAGCAGATGGCATGTCAGAGTTTGCAGTGTTCATTTTAATGCTGCTTTTTGATGAGAGGGGTTTCATCAGCCATTACTGGGTGCATTTTGAAAAGGGAAATACAAACCATCTTTCCCTGCTGTAATCTTCTCCCAGTCTGCCTTTGTAAACCTAGTCTCACTGGCCTCTGACTGAGCCGTGTCTCTTTTCAGTTATTTCATTGGCTTCTTACAGTGGAGGTAAGGATCAGAATTGCCTTTACAATGCAGCTGGGTAAGTGTGTGGTTGCAGGAGACAGGTCTTGTGTCCGAAGGTTTCTCTTCTGGGTTTCTGCTCTAAGGGTGTCCAAAGCACAGCAGGAGTTGGGGGATTCCAATGAGTAAAGGAACGTTTAGGCTAAGTGGCAAAGTCTCCTAACAGGTTACCTAGTCTTTCACAAGCTATTTTAAAACAAGCTGTAAAATTGCAAAAGACTATTTGCTTGCGTGTGTGTACGTACTTTTGTGTGTGAAAACCAGTAGGGAATAATCATACGTTGGCCACCAGGATATACAGGTGATTTGAGGTTTCTTTCAGCTTTTCATTTGTCATTCCTGTCTGACTCTTACCTGTGCCACAGTAGAATTCCCAGAATTTAGGCTCTAATACATACTTTTTGGAAACTAGGGTGCTGTTCCAGGAGAGGCTCTGTTCATATGTGCTGTTGTGGCATGATGCGGAAAAACAGTGACTTCAGCACGAGATGAATGAAGGATGATGACTGGTGTTTGCTGGAGCCCTGGGCTTCATGGACTTCTTTCCTCTGCAAGTTCATGTCCACTTTCACGGGACTTGTTTTCTCCAAGAGTAGGCAGGATTGGGGGAAGCCAGTGGAAAATTCAAGAGACAAGCAGTTATTAACATTGCCTTGGATAGTAAGAGGTTTTGATTTACCAAGAGCACGTAAAGGTCCTTATTTAAATCCTTTTAACCAAGCTGTAGCATTCCAAGTCTGCAGTGCAGGCTCTGTTTGGTGAATCAGCACGTCCCAGGGAGATGCCCACGCTCGTCTGCTGCCCGCTTCCCTGGGATTGGAGCCGTTCACCAAGATAAATACTGTGTCAAGGATCCAGAACTCCCATTAGGTGAGCAGTTTTCCTCCCTGCGCATGGCGTGCTCATAAAAGCCAAACTGGATGGTGTGTTTTCAGCTGGTTTCAGAAAACTCTCTGGAGTTTGCCATCCTGGAAAGAAAACTGTAACTCTAATCCCTTTGAAAGTTGTAGACCCAATTCTCAGTCCTGAATTCACACCTTATTTTAAAAAAATAAAGATACATATTTACAGATTCACTTCCCTTCTGGAAAGTCACTTTCCCTCCCTATTTGGCTACTCTAGTCCACAGTGGTAATTCTGTTAAGTTGTTTGCACATGCCCGGTAAGTTCAGCTTTGCTGTCTGTGGAAGAATTGAACAGCTGTAAGATTTTTGGTCTGCTGAGGACTCAACTGCTGATGTTACTGGATTTTTTTTTTTTTTTTTCCATTCTGTTTCTGGAAGGATTAAATCCCTGATTTGTTGGAGGATAACTGGCTTCTAGCACACCTGGAGCTTCACTTGGGAAATATGGTCACAAACGTGTATCTTTGTCACACTACAAACAGGGGTAGAAGACCAAGTCCTTGGCCACGTGAGGGTATATGGGACCCAATGCGGTAATGGTGGTGGCGAGAAGGAAACACCTGTAAAATAAAAGGGCAGCCTTACATCATTTAAAGAGCTGTTGTATCTTTTCTCATTCCCTTTACAGATGGGAGCGGTCTCTGTCCCGGTACCCAGAACAATGATTGTGAGAATTTTAAATGATCTGAAGGGAGAAATAGAAAGATCTCAACAGCATCAGTGTAAAGAAATTATTCTTTGTGTTCTGTGGAGCTTTTATGACATGGAAACAGTAACTCCTCAGCAACAGACTCTCTCTAATTCAGAAAACCGAAAGCTCTTTTAAATGTCTTATTTCCTTCCTTCCTGGTAGTTTTTTAAAGCATCTATTGCTGAACTGATTATTTAGCACTTTTGGTGAAATTAAAGAATTCCCCTGAAAAGCAAGCAGAGGGGAAGAATAAGGTGGAGTGTCCCACTCAAAGTCTCCGTGCACTGGTTTTGCTGGTGTTCAGCAGTGAGGCGTGCTGGTGTCACTGGAGCACAAGCTTGCAGGAGCCACCTGAGTCAAACCCAGCCTTCTGCTGTCGCAGGCAGCTGCTTCCTCTAACCTTACAATTTGATCAAGTTCAGATATAAAACCAGCCAGTGTTTTTTTTTTTTATCTTCACTCCTGCGGGAAGGCTGCTCCCACTTCTCTACTCCTCTGGTAGTTGGAAGACTTGTCTTTATGTCATTAAGTGGATTGATCTTCAGATCTGTTTGCTCTTGTACCAGCTTTATTCCTCTAGTGCCCATTGTGCGCTCTCCTCCTGGGTGTCTACCTTCACAGGGTACTCACAGGAACAGTCCTTTTCCCTCTCAGCATTTTCTTTTTCTTCTGGTGTCCTCCTACTAGCACGCCGTATGCACAGAATAAAAGCCGTTTTGTCTATCACACTTCTTTCTCTTCTTGTCAAAGGTAAGAACGATGGCTCGATTGGAGGGAAGCAGTATTTCAGATGCAACCCAGGCTACGGATTGCTTGTGAAACCAGGCAGAGTTAAAAAGGCCACGGGACCAGCAAGGCGGCGGAGCACCGGGTTGAGGTTGCAAGGAGGAGCCGCCGCTGAGAACAGGAGGAGTGGCAACTTCTCCGGTTCAGCCTCCAACCTGGCTTCGCTCACAGCCCTGGCGAAATCAGAAGGAGGATCCCCGCTGCGGCCGGAGAAGAGCCAGAAGAACGTGGAGAACAGGAAATCTTGGGTGAACTGAGACAGCCCTACCCACCACAGCAAACGCAGGGGAGCAGGTCTTCAAGAAGCTAAACCGACCACGTGAACTTCTAGTTTGTGGCAAACACTAATGAAGGGGTTTTGTTTGGTTTCTTTTTTTTTTTTTTTTTTTTTTTCCCCTGTGCTTTGGGTGATTGACATGTTAATTCTTCGCCTTTTCATGGTGCTGGATCTACGTCCTTCGCTTCCTGCTACAAACTGTGACGCTTCAGGGTATGACTGATGGCAGCTGGTGAAAGCTCGTGGCGGTGGGTGGGTGTAAGCTCTGCTCTCTTCCACCTTTCAGAGGAGGAAGAGACGCGTAAATTGTTCAAATTATGGCATGGCTTTCCAATAGCTACAAAATACTACCTACATACCAGTGCTTCTCCCGGTGTGACTGGCAATTCTTAAAAAAACCCTCCCCAAAATAACAGTTCTTTTCTAATTTCGTGGCAGCTGTGTCTGTATTGTGTAATACATGGTGAAAGGGCAAGGTTATAATGAGTCCGGACAGGCAGAGAAGTGAACATAAGACTTGATTTGGAAATACAGAACCCCCCAAACTCTTTTATTTAAAAAAGCAACAGCTCCTTGGTTATGCGAGCTGGGACCAGTGCCCATTTTGATTACTGTCCTGTTGTCCCTGTCTCTTTCTGTAGAAATCAGCACAATTTTTCTAGCTGATTTGTAGGAAATGGGAGAAGGCCTGTGACCCGCTCTGTAATATTTTTGGTCCCTTCTTTTTAGGAAAGAGGGGAGTTGAGCGAATTTGTTGTCTAATCTACTTAACGTGCACTCTCACCATGACAGGATCTCTCTTGCTTGCCCCAAAGTGGCAGAACTGTCTTCTCGTTGGTTCTGCCCTCTGGGCCAAGAGGATTTTTGCAAAGACATCAGCACTTCAGTGCTCCGATGCTCCCACCCAGCCTTTGGAGACAATTGGTTTTTTACCAGTTTTACAAAGCAGAGGGTCGCTGTCCTTGTAACGGGATTAATCCAGTCTATTTATTTTTATTTATTGTTTTAAAATATGAAATGTTTGCGCTTTACAATCATCCACCGCCTGACGTTGCACAGAGGAGCTCTGCTGGCACCATACCAAGCGTTGATCCAAAGAGGAGGTGCCTCCGTCGCCGGCTAAACCGTCCCAGCGGCGCGCGAAAGCAAACCCGGCTGAAGGGTCGTCCCCAAAACTAATCTCCCTCTTGAAAGTGGGAGGTTTGGGCTGGCTTTTATAAAACTTGATTTTCTTTTTGGTAAACCCCGCTAGTTTTTAGCTGCCTGTGGCACAAATGGTATATTGCTGTACGTGGGCGTATATATACATGTGCACGTATCGACATACACACACTCATTTTCTAACAAATCAAGAAAGGCCACGGGCTTTTATATTCTGAGCTGTTTATATCTTGTTTAGTCATCACGGGGGGATTGGACACCTTGAGCAATAGACGTTTTATCTATGTCGGGAATATTTAGGATGCTAAATTAATGATTAAATTTTAATATGTATCTAATCGCTGCCCGTGCTGCACGTGGGTATCTAAGTGCCTTAGCCATCTGGTTCAGAGGTCCAAGGGAGAGATACATTGTCATCAAAGGAGGTAGGGATGCTTAGCGAAGGAGATAATTATGCTGATTTACTGTAATTAATATCATTTATGCAGAAGGAATAAAATTAAAATAGAAACTAATCTGTAGCAGAAATAAGTAGGATGGGTTACAATGCAGCATGCATAGTACTGCCAGGGATTCATATATCCTTTCAGCTTTGTGTAACTAGTGTCAGTGTTTCCTAAATTTTCATAAAGAAATCTTAATATAAAATGTACAGACCAGCTTTTAAAGGTATTTTTAACGTATAGGTTTTCCTCCTTTTCCTTTGCACGAAGCTCCTGTCCATTCAAGCCAAGAGGATGGGAGAAATTTAGTAATAAAGAATTCAGACGCTAAAATCCTGGTTTTTAAAATTGTAACTGTTTTTATAGATATGACTCATGCAACAGAACAACGTTTTGCTTTGGGGTATGATGAGTCTTGCTGGTGAAAGACCACCCGCTAATGAATATGATGCCTCTTATACTGCCTTGTAAGTTTTCTAAAATCCATCGTTACCATTTTTCTAATTGCACTTTGTTCCGGTGTGCTGCAGAAAGTTAGCGAATGTGAAGCGGCCCCCAAGCCGACAGTTGTGGCTTTTAGTCTCAGCATTTCGTTTACTGGATTTAGGGATATCTTTAAAACTTTTTGCTGCTTGCTAGCTGGCCCCTTTGGGGGTGATAGGAAGGGAAGAACCTGTCCAAGTCCTTCTGAAGCCTCTTTGCTTGCACCACCGTCTCTGAAGACGAGTTCTGCGGGACCAACGTACAGGTAGCAAAGTCGTGGGAGTGAACGGGTCAAGCAGAAGGCAGCTGGGTTAATAGTTCACTGTTTCTGCTGCCCACTGTCGATTTTTCTGGCCGTGTTTGTACTCCAGCTCTGCCCGCGTAAGGACCTGTTTGTGTTTGCACATCTGGGGCACGTGGTCGGAGGCTGCAGCCGACTGATACGGGGTGGATTTCCTCTTCCACCCGCCCTCGGTCGTGCTACAACACTGTGCTCCGTGTATTTAGAGGGGTCTGAAACGTGGTTTGAGCAGAACACACTCGCTACCTCCTCTAGGATAACTTGTCCTGGAAGCAAATGCCTTAACTACGGCTGGTGTGTTTTGAAACATCAGTGGATGGTGAGCGTGACAAAGCGGCTCTGTTAACACAGCGCCTGCTCGGCTTGGGTGAAGGGAGGATTGGACTCGTAGCTCCCTTGGTTTTTACCGTCTCGTTTGACTTTTGAAACTGAACCTCTTCTCAAATCCCATCCTGACGCCTGCCCCATAAATGAAGCCGCCCTAACCGCACCGCCCCGATGTGGCGCAAGCTCCAGAAAGTCAAACACATCAAATTCAGCTGTGAGGATGCTCTTAGAGGACTTCTCTGACTCCCTCCTGCTCACCCCGGCTTTCCTGGGCACATGAGGTTTCTTCTAGAGATATTTTCCAAGATTTTGGCCCAGTGGGTGCACATCCCTCTACTCAAAGCCGTTACATTGCACCAGCTAAGCCAACTAACCAGAAAATAGCTGAAAACAATAATGAAGGTAATTTTTTCTTTTTTTATTGATAACATTGGAAAAACTCTACGCTCAGCATAAAGGAGGGGGTGCTCTTAACTGGAACCACCCAGCAACTGAGGCTGGCGTTAGTAGCTATGCATATTTTCCAAGATTTTCATGCACTTTATACAGGGAAGAAGAATATTTAATACCAGAACTGTGATTTGTAGAAAGTGTCTCCTCTCCCGTGTCTGCTGGGGGGTGCAAGCTTGCTTTCTGTGTCCCTGAACCGTGGATGGGTCTCCGATTCTGGGCGTAGGAAATTCTGTGGGTGGGTCGGAAACGTGACGGCCCAAATCCGTGTCCGCAGGTCCCGTCCTGCGCCCGGGGTTCCGCACCGTGCTGTCGTTCGCTCCGAGTCAGCCAGGAGGATGCTTTTCGGAGGGACTTTCGGGGGTTTTCTCAAACCAAGACTTTTTTCTGCGCTATATTCAGCTCTCTCATGGTGTTTTGGTCTTATGCCCAAAATAACACCTTCTCGGTTCGAGGGCTTTGGCTGTTTGCTGTTTAATGATGTGGTTTAGTTGAGGAAAACTGATGGAAACAAGTTCCACGTGGTAATACTACCCGAGTCCTTAAGAAGAGAGTTTTGTCAGTGGTTGAGATGGAAGCTGCCCACGAGGCGGGATGTTCAACACCTCTTTGCTCTCCTACAAACCGAGTAAACCCCCCCTTTTTCCTACCTGTCAGTCGTGAAAGCTTGTACGAAACAAGCTTGGGTGTTGTACAGGCCTGTTCGTACGGTGACGGAGCTGTTGAAGAGTCTTTTCTGTGTTGATGCTTGTGACGTCCTTCCGCTGGTGCTGCCGGGTCTTTGCGCGAGAGGTTCAGTCTCCCCAGTGCCTTACCCTCACAGCTGGAGCAGCGAGGGGCTGGATTTCGTACCGGCCTCGAGGCTGCCTCACTCGTAGCAAAGGAAGATCGTGATAAGTAAAAGTGCAGCCTGGTCACACTACAAAATACTCTTGAGCTGGCGTCACAAATAAATGTCTTGTTCCTAGATCTCCTTTACCCGTCTTCGGTTTCTGCTCTCTCCACCCTACTCCTAAACCACCGTTGTGTTTTTTACCCCCCTAGAAAGGCTTGGCTGCTGCTGGGAGCCCCTGGCCAGGCTGGGTTCAGCCGGTGGCAGAGCCTCTGGGCGCAGCTTTACTAAACCCTGTGGTGGCTCTGGCATCCGCAGCGGAGAGAGCGGGGCCGTGGGTTGGGACTCCTTAAACCCAGCGAGAGCCGGGAGCGCCTGGCGCAGAGCAGGAGGGATGCACCGTGGGCATCACCCCCCGCCCTTCGCCCGCCGGAGAGGAGCGGTGCTTTGGTTCGGCAGGAGGAGGCGGCTGCTCTCCCCTCCCAAACTGGTTTTGAAGCGGCTCGAGGAGCCGCACTCCCAGCCATAACTGGCCGGGTGTGCATCGGCGCGTTCCCGCCTCGCTTCGGGCACCCTCATCCCCACTGTCCCTCCTCGCAGCCGACGCGCCTTTTGCTTTTTTCACCACCACGAACGGCCGCTGTGGCCTGGGAGAGTCTTTTCCAGCCCCTCTTTCTGTTGATTTCTGTAAATGTAGTGGGTCTGTATATAAAGAGTGGCTATTTACACTGTGGTATTACATGTCGATCGGTGTACTTTAAATGAGCTAAAATCCAAAGATACTTTGTAATGAGCTGTAAAGTTTTTAATTATTTCTGTACAATACTAAATTACTGTAATATTGTATCATACATGCAATCCAGCCTGCAGTACCTAAATAAACATCTTCTTTAGAGCCAGTAAGTCTGCGCTTTGTTAATCCAGTCTGTATCACCAAAACGATCAGATGCACTCGCAGCCTGAGGGTGGAAGAGCATCACTTGAAGGTGCTGGGATCTGATTCAGACAAGACTTTTGCCCTGTTGCCTGCAATTAGGGACCTCCTCCATGAGTGCCAACCCACAGCTTTACCTTCCCTCCATCCTCCCTCCTCTCTGATGCTCAGGAAAATAACCCTTTGCCTGCAGCCATTGAGGTGTGGGAATGCTCCTCACAGATCATGGGTATGCAGAGCCAGGGGAAAGCTGTATTTAATGCTCATTTTCCCTATTGCTACGCTAAATAAAATCAGCTGGAGGTCTGGTCACACTCCTCTGTGCTCTCTGGCTGCTTCAGGCTGGATGAAGGCTTGTTCCTGCTGGCCCTGCCCTCGATTGCTGCAGCCAGTTTTCTTTTCTCTGCTCCTTCTGTTCCCCTAATGGGCTGTAAAAAAACTAACGGCTTGCAGCCCCCCAAAACTGGGCAAATGCCCGCAGTGCTTTGGGGCCAGGGAGGGTGGATGCCAGCTGGGATGGGGCAAGTTGTGCAGGGGAACTGCTTAAAAATCTATGGGCTGGTTAGTGGGGGAGTGATACAGGGAACTAACTGCTTTGCAATTTCTTAACACTCCTATTTATCTAGAATGTTTTTGGAAGCCTTGAATGTTCTTTTGAAACTCGTTTACTAGAGACTGGTGCTTGTCAGGGATGAAGCTTATGAGGGACTGGTATTCGTCAAGGACACAATGTGTCAGACACAGGGGGGAGATAACAAGAATAACGGTGTTAGTCTGACCATAAAACTGGTCAGAACTGGTCAAGAAGCTGCTGAGATCTCCGAGTAACGAAGAGAGCATGTGCGAATGACTGAAGTTTGTCTGAAGGATGGAAGAGGGAGATAAGAGCCCTGAAGAAGTAAACGACCACCAGAGACAGATCTGAGTCCGTGCAAACTAACCCCGCCTCGCTTCTGGATAGGTATGTGTGTGTTGTGTAATCCCATGAACATGTATCCCTGCACTGCATAAATTTGTGGCAAAGTGTGCTGTTGGTGTGCAAGCTAGGAGGAGCGATCCCCCTTGCACCCGGCGCTGCAATAAACACACCTGCTTTAGAGCTCTTGGTGAGTTGCAGAGTTTGCTTCCGCACGTCAGGAGGGAGGTGGGATGCAGTCGCTTCGGTTTGGAAAACCAGATTAGACTGAATTTAGTGCTAATGGTTATTTTACTGTGATCGCAGCCTGGTGGGACCTGATTTCCCCAAAACAGGACAGCTGCAGGATGAGACAAGGGACTATTCCAACGCGCTCAACATCGGTTTGTATCGGCCAGCCATGAGGGGACAGGGACAGAGGCTGCTGCCAGAGCCTGTCCGTCTGTCCTGGCTGTGAATTTGCAACAAGAGAACAGCTGAAGAAATCATTTATTTTACGCTCAGGCGTCCACACTGAGTAAGAACCATGAGATGGTTTTGGGGTTGTCTAACCACGGGTCTGAAAACTAAGAGATGTCCTTGGAGCAGCCTGGAGGCATCGCTGTCCGCGGCAGTAGAAGTTGCTGGCGTTACCCCAGGGAGGTGCAGCCAAAAGGTACAAAAACTGTGAATTCACACCCTCCGTGGTCAGGGGCACTTGTGTCCTACAGCCTGAAACCTCGGCCCCGATGCCTGCAGGGGACCAGGGTGGCACAGGGTGGGAAGCCCAGCAGTAGGGTTGTGTTGTTTAGGATGGGGGTGTAAAAGCTTTGGTGCTTATTTTAAAAAAAAAAACAAACCAAAACACAAAACCAAACAACAAATGGGGCTCCCCCACCACAGCTGCTATTGCACTGACGGCGCTGGAGGCGTCGGCTGCGGGGTTGTGTCATGGGCTGGGGTTTTGGGCAGAGTATTGAGAGGCTGGGCAGGCACCTCTTACAGATTATCAATGTCTCCAATGGGGCGGGGGGGGGGGGGGGGGCAGGGATTTTTTGGCCTTGCTGGGGGCCTGGGGGGGTTATTCCATCGGGCTGGCTGCTGGCGCTGCGGGGAGCCCTGCTCCCACCAGCCCTGACAGCCAAAAGGGCCTCGGCGCGATGAGAAACCCAATGCACCCAACTGGTGGGTCAGGGCAGCAAGATGTCCTTGAAACTCCTTCCCTAGGTCAGTTTATTTTCTTGCTCTTTGCTAATATGTTTCTCCAAAATACAGCTTCATGCTGGAAACAACTGGCAGGGCCTGGCTTGGATTTTTTGGGGGTGGTTTTGTTTTATTTGTGTTCAGTTTTTGGTGTGTTTTTTTTGGTTTTGTTTTTTTTTTTTTTTTTTCTGAGCAACAAACTCTGTGTTGAACCCACAATCCCTGCTGAAAGTCATTTAGCAAAGGATATTTTTATCAGTGTTGTCTTGCAATCAGTGCACAAAAAATACAGCTGTTTTTTTTTTTTTTCTTTTTTCTTTTTTTTTGTAAGCCACTTCCCTTTAATGTTTTACCTTCTGGAAAAAAAAAAAAAAAATTCTTTGGCTGAAACACAGGAGCCTTTTGAAGTGCCGTTACTTTGTTCAAACCTCGCTCTTCCCAGAAGGTGGTTGTAACACCTTCCCTGCACCGCAACCGCGCTCTGCTTTCAGTTCTTCAGCCAAAGCTGTTTTTAAAAGGCACCGATCAAACCGAGCAAGAAAATAAGAAACTAAAAAAAAACACCACAAAGAACACCTTTTCCCCCAGCTTTCCTTCAAATTAATACCGCTTTCATTGGGCTCGCTTGCCTCCGAGCCCTTTGCCACACGGGGCGAGCAGCGAAGGTGACGGAGCCGCTGGGTTTCAGCTGGAGGCAGCAGCCCAGGACGGGGTTTGGGGGTGGGCACGGCGCTGGGGGTCCCCCCCACACAGGCTGAGCCCTGGAGATGCTCTGCCACAAGCTTGGCTGATTTCAAAAACAGGGTTGTGCTCACCTTTGACACCAACCTGTGATGAATTTTATTTATTTATTTATTTATTTATTTATTTATTTCCCCTCCAGCTCTGTGACTTGATCCTCTGGTTCCCCAGGAAAAAAAAAAAAAAAAAAGGCATAAAATGGACTGGAAGTGGAGCTTTTTGCAAAGCACGTGCTGCCTCCGGTGTGTGTGTTTGGCTATCTTTTTTTTTTTTTTTTTTTTTTTTAAAAAAAACTGCTTTCCAAACTGAGCTTTTCTGCGTGCCCGGGGTCTCATCTGTGAAGGAAGGAGAGGGCTCCAGCCTTCATCCCCCATCACCGGCACGCCTGCCCTCTTCGGACGAGTCCTTTCACATTCCTCCTCTCCCCTCCAAGAAAATGAACTGGGGGAGGTGGGGACGGGGGGGACTCGGGCCCCCCAGGGTCAGCAGCCGTACCAACGCCTCCATAATCACCCAGTTGTTCCAATGGGTCGCCCTTACGATGGAAATCGGAGAGAAACTAAAAGTGTTGGGGATTAATTTGTAAAGAAACAAAATGCAGTAAGAAAAATGGCTCAGAAGCCAACAGTCCCGAGGGCTCAGTCGTCAATTCTAGATAGTGAGCCAACACTTGACTTAGAGCAAGGCGCTTTTTTGTTATTTTTACTGTTTCCTTTGGAAAGGCGGGAGGAGGTGACAGGCCCCCCAGTCCCTGCAGGTTTGGTCGCCCACCCCCAGCCTGCTCCCTCCAGTTTTAGCTGATTTTCCCCTCCCCGCTGTCTCAGAGAGGCACAAGGACCATTTTGAAAGGTGCTTCCAGCCCTGAGGTGTATTGCTCCTTATCCGCAGCCCCAACAGGAAGGTTGCTCTGCCCCTCGGCTTCGGGGTGCTCCTCCCGAGCAAAGCCCCCAGATCCCTCAAACCCGGGCTGCACATACTGATTTGAACCAGTATTGCAGAAACCAGACGCCACTTCAATAAATAAACCAATTTCTGTGATGTTAAGACTCTGTTCTGCTACCTGGCTAATCCGTACACGCCCGCTGCAGCAGCTCCTTCCCGTTTTCACGAAGCTCTTCCCCACTCGCCCCCCGTCCTGGCTCCTGTTTGGAGACCCCCGAGATGCCCAGGAGGAAAGGGCAGCCAACGCATCCTCCTGCCTTCGGCTTCTCAAAATTACACTTGGATTCGTTACTTCAACACCTTTTCGGTTTTATTACAGTCCAGGCCCCTGCAGCCCCTCGCCATCCCCCTTCCGCGGTGGGATGGGACTCGGTGGCCCTTCTCGAGGTTCCCGGAGCCCGGCGGGAGCTTTCCAAGGAGAAATTCGCCTTTTGGCCCTGCGTGCACCCCGCCTCGGCCCTTGCGGTGCTGTGCCACCAGTTTGTTTCCTCGTGACCAACACCCCCGCTCTCCCAGCAGATAAACACCTACTCTTAAGATCTCCTTTCAGTGGATAAAACTCTACTCTTAAGATCTCCTTTCAGAGGATAAAGCCCTACACTTAAGATCTCCTTTCAGAGGATAAAGCCCTACTCTTAAGATCTCCTTTCAGCAGAAAATGCCCCAAAGGCCGCCGGTACCAGCCCATGGAAGTGATGCCACCGATTTAAACGTAGCGCCCGCCACCTTCACCCCTCCTAGAGCCCGTCCTTACCAAAAAGGGAAGGCACAAAGAGTTAAATCTCTCAAACAGTTAATAGCTTCTGCGTTTACCAAGCTCTCGAGACACATCTTCAGGTCTTCACTTGCGTCCAAGGCGCCTCTCAGGCTTTCACACCCAGACAGCTTTGCGCAAAAAGGACCATAGAAGCGATGCATCGTTGTTGAGTTATACATTTTTATTTTCTAATAGGTACAATACTAAAATAAACACAAATTAAAAAAAAGTTTTATTAAAACAAAACTGTACAAAAAAGCAGTTATACTACATTTTAATTACAGAACAGTCTACTGTCCAAAAGGCACTAATCCAGAATAGGAGATACAATGATACAGGACTCATTTTAACTATTTTAATCAATACAATAGAGCACTTGTTTCTCTGTCCATTCACATATAGAAACAAGGACTTTTGCTACAGTCATTACACATTGTTATAAATATGAGCCCTACATGTAAAGATGCAGTATCGCTCTCCCTGGGCCAAGATTCAGTTCAAACAATGTTAGAAATTAAATTAAAAAAAAAAAAGAAAAAAAGAAAAAAAGAGAGCAAGGACACAAGGGAAGAAGTTGATAGCTCGTGCTTTTGCAGTACCTGCTGCCCGAGGAAGACGCGACAGACACCAGGTCTCGCCTGCCTGTCGGGGTGGGAACACTGGAGCACGCTGGTGGTGGGACTGGGAGGTGAACAGCCATCACCTCGTGCCCAAAGCTTTGCGTTCAGTTTTTCCTCTACTTCCCATTTTATCTAGTTCTCCTTTGACCCCCACCCCCGCCTTTATCCCTGGATAGTTCTCCACTCTTTAACTGACAACTAACGATTTTCAAGTTAACGATTTTCAAGTGCACCAAGGGAGAAAAACTACTTTTCCCCTTGTGGCAAATGACGGAGCAGACCCATCGGCATCTTGCGGATAAATGCAGTGATTTGGAGAACATTTTAGAATACTCTTCCAAAAAATCAGTATCTTTAACTGCAAGGGCATCAAGCCACGAGAAGATGGACCTCGTGAAATAAAGCTCCTGCAAGCGTCCTTGGAGCAACGGACCAAACTGTCACCAAACCACCAGGGATTGCTCATGGCTCGCGTGCGGCTCCCGCCAGGGGTGGGAGGGTGGGTCCGAAGCAGCACGGGGCGGGGAAGTTACAACCGACTGCCTTGCCAACCTGCCTTCCTGCAAGCAAAAATACACCTTGGCAGCGTGCAGCAACACCAGCTCCCCGCGGCACCTTCCTCCCCGCCGGTGTTACCTGAGATTCACTCCCCCGTCACACACAGTACCGCTTCCCTGGTGTCTTTTTTTTTTTTTTTTTTTCCCCATAAACAACTTCCTAACACAAGGATCTGCTCATCCTCCCTCCCAACCTACCCTACACTTCTTTTTTCTTCCCCCTCCCTGAAATTTCAGGCTGAGGACCAGTAGGTAAAGATGCTACAGGGGGTGGATGGTGTAGACAGCGTGCTCGGAGAACACCTGTGTGAAAAGCAATCAACCAGCGCGTGAATATTTGACATTACTATTAGGAGCAACGACACAACGTGCCTGTTAAATGCCAACATGAAATATACAGTCTTTCAGCTGAACGAGCAGCCCTCGTTAAGATCAAGACCTCGGCCTGTTTGCGGGGTTTGATGATGATGATGATGATGATGATGATGTGGAGCATCACCCAACTCTTCCATGGTGGAAGAGGTTTAATACGCTGGAGGGAGAGAGATACTGCACCTTTCGAACAGTGTCATACACATAAGACAAAGACAGGCATCTGGATGTTAACAAAAATAAGTAACAAAGAAATATGATTAAACAAAATCTCTTCTCACATCATCCTATACTACATCCTCCTTCTGCTTAGCAGAAAATTGTACGTACACAAAAATACAAATACACAATTTTGTAGAACAGTCTGATTTTAATATATTTATATATATTTATATTTATATGAGTGGCAGGTTAGTTCATTATATAGAGCTTTTTGCACTTTTGGCTCATATGCAACAAGGCTTTATAAATTCAGCTTTAGCTTTCATTCAGGTTTTATAGCTTCTTGAACATTTGTTTTCACATTTAAAGCAGCATCCAATTTGCAAGAGGAGTTGGTGGTGGCTACAGCAAGGATCAGGTCAAGAGGTTATTTGGGGGGGGGGGGCGTGTGGGGAGGGGGGAAGGAGAATATACATTCCAGTGTGTGTGTGTGTGTGTGTGCGCGCGCTAGTGCTCATGTAAATAAAAAAAAAAAAAAAAAAAAAAAAAGAAGAACAAACTGTGAACATACGACTCTAGGATACCATGTTTACCTCTTGAGGTAGGCAGAACACCTACAGCAGATGAGACACAGGTGCCGTTTTCGTCGGGGCACATGGCGGGAGAAACAAGCGGGTGAGCGGAAGATGCTGACGGAGGGACGCACAGAGCCGGAGGAGGCCGCTGGCGGGGCCGAGAGGGGACACGGCGCAGCGCCTCTTACCGATGCGCGCGGCAGACCCGCCAGGCAGGAGGCCTGCCAGCCACCCACCACACGCAGCCCTACCGCCCCGGCCGCGCTCGCCTGCCCCGGCCGGAGGCGGCAGGTCGACCCCAACACCCCCCTCCCCAAGTCAACGCGACCAAGTGGGACAAAACTGAGGCGCAAAAGTTTTGAAACGAAAACCGCGGCGACTCCCCAAGCGCCTCGCTAGGGTTTCTGTTTGGGGTTTTTGCTTCATTTTTTTTTTTTCTGGTGCCTCTGATGCCGTTCCACTGTCTTTTCACTTCTAGGTTTGCAACACTCACTACTACATTAATCTTTGTTTCAATTACAACCACTGCTATCGACAATCACTTGGTTTAGGGGGGGAAAAAAAAAAAAAAATTCACTGTTAAAAAAGGCATCTCTAGAGCAGGGCGACAGTACAACGTCGAACGGTCCACGTGTATTATAGGCTCCACAAATACTTTATTTTCATTAGTACCCCAGCAATAGATTCCTATTTGATCATTGCTTATATCAACACCCATCAACATCCTACAAGCTAATTTTCTGTTCTCTGCAAAAGAGATGTCCTTATAGCTTTTCTTGCCAATAGTCATTTCCTAGGCTTTCCCAACTCATACGTTATTAAGTTGTCAGAGTGAAAACAAGATTTTGTTACTAATGAAAAATAAAACATCTACATATGGATTGCTTTCATTTTCTGAATCCTTAAGTGGTACTAATCCATCTTAATAGTGTTCTGTTATTTCCTTTTACTATGGTCAGAAGAAATTCTCCTTTAATGCCATTTTTTATACTAGCATTGATATCTATCTTTTTTTCTTTTCAAACCCACATAAAATTCTCATGTATGTTTATAAAATTATAACCACCTGCCAACAGTTACAATTACTTTGACAAAATGTTTAGCAGGTGCCACTATTACAAGCCTAGAAATAATTAAGAATATAGGAAGAAACTGCCTGTGATTCCAAAAAGGGGCGATTAAATATGCATATTAGCTTTTCTGATGCAGAGTCTCACACATGTGGTTATCCAGAGGTGCATGTTCAATGCACAAAGCTATTTGTATCTGCAATCCAAGAGGCAGTTTCCGACTGAATTCTATCCAAGCTTCCCCCCCCCTCTTTACTATCCCACCCCAAATCAGAGATTGCTAAGGTTTGGCTGAGAAATGAGATTCGGTAAGGAGATCCCCACCCACAGACTGAGACCCGAGGGGGGCAGCATGAGGAAGGAGTGGAAATTTCTTTCCAACCGGATTCCGCGGGGCTCCGGGCTCCCACCGCCCGCCTGGAGTCGCGCGTGCGGAGGGACTGCAGGGAGGGCTCTTTTCTTAAGAGGGAAATGAGGTCTAATCCTGTTCCTCCAGCTCACTCTGGAGTCCTGTTACTCACTTAGGCACTTTTTAAATTGACACTAAGAAAAAAAAAAAAAAAAAAAATTAAAAACGTACTGCACATATTTCACACTTCCCGGGCTTTCGTCAGCCTTGGGAAGATCCTAAAGACCAAGAGGGAGACAGCCAAGGCGATTTGTCAAGAAAATAGTGCTCCCCATGGACACAACTGACTTTTATTTGTCACCCTTTGATAGAACTGCTATTGAACTACATCTAGTTTAAATTTGTTATTCCTCTACTATCTGTAAGGGAAAAGCCTGTCTTACGGCGGCTCTGTGGCACGACGACATCGCTTTATCCTATCGGGTCTGACACCTGGGTGCTCTCCCAGTTCCAGCCAGCAGCAGCGCGCCGGGCGCTCGCACCGGTGTGGGACGTGCTGCCCCTAACCCTCGAGGACAATGCTGGCAGAAGAAGAAGGAGGGTCGGCTCCTGACGAGATTCGGACAGGCGTTACCAACGGTACAGCCAGAGCCAAGAGCAAGGCGAAAGGGGTTTTGAGTTTGTATCGCGACGGGTGATGAAACGGACAATCTGTCCTTCCCGGAAGAGCAAACAGGGCTCTGACCCCACAGCAAGTAGAAACAGGTCACAAGCTTCAGCCCAGCGCAAGTCTCAAGATGACATCTAAATTTACGCAGAAGCCACAGGAGAAAGAGAAAATTCAGTGGATAATACTGAAAGATGGGAAGCTCAAAATCCAAACTCTGGTCTTCATTGTAATTTTTCATCTGGAAAAGGAATTTCAAGTTTTCCCCACCATCTTCAAACCTAAAACAACTTTTTAAAGAGAATACTGAAAGGCTACTCTGGTTGCAAAAAGTGATCCCAAGCCCTGGGTGAATGAAATGACGAGGTGAAGCAGTCCACAGCCTCCTTCGGACAAGCTATGCAAATCCACCCATCCTGCTCCAAACCCTCCCATTAAAAAAGCAGGCAACAGCACACTAACCAAGAAAAACAACCTCACCATTTACGACAACTTCCAACACTGAGTGAGTGCAAGCAAGACAAAATAAAATGAAAGACGAAGATGCTACTCCCTTGTCCCTCTCTGTTAACCACGGTCCGACACCTTGGAACTACCTTAGTTCACACAGGAGGTTGCGAGTAAAAAACCTGCTGTAAATTAACTGAATTTATGATCTATTTTTTTAAAATTGTCAGAGTAGGCAAAAGTTTGTTTTTATTTATACCATCCTGTAGGCAATATATATTAGGGACTTCAAGTAAGCAACTGATACAGCACTGTCTAACAGGTGGAAGGAAAGGTGAACGCCTTGGACTAAAACTTGTCTAACCGTAAATATGCTGCTTGAACATGTGAAGGGAATAAAGTGCCTGCAGAGGAAAAAGAGAAGAAGGAAAACCAAGAGAAAGCAGGGAGGAACAAAATTAAAATGGCACAAGTCACCACCGAAGACTGCAGAAGGGGAGAAAGGGCCCAGCGAGCAACAAGTGAGTCCTAAGAGGAGTGGGAGAGGCAGCGAACAACAAACAGCATGAAAAACTGAACAGAACAGATAAACCTGAGCACTATTAATTGTGTGCAAGAAATGTCAAATTAGACTGTTTAGAAGCACTGCTGTATCTGAGATATGCCTTTATTTTTACAAGTCACTTCCCATAACATTGCTGAGTACCTGCTGAAGTGCACAGCGCAGTACTAGTCTCCCAGTAAAAAAGAACGACAGTCCAAGGATTAATAATAATTAAAAAAAAGATTATACTTAGAAGTTACTATTTCTCTGATTTGCTAATCTAAGTGTCAAAACTGAAATGAGGGAAGTGAGGAGGGCTGCTAAAGAACCATGCTGGGAAAACCCAAGGTCTTTTAGCTAGCAAAAAGCTTGGAAGATTTCATAAGACTGAACCAAACCTAAGCTTCAGCATTACACTGGATGACATTTTATTAGGCTGCAAATAATATTTAGAGACTGTAAGTACAACAGGTTCAGGTCAGAGCACTTCAGTATGAGAAAACTACCAGTAAACCAGGTAAAATAGGATTACCAGGATGTGAAGGAGCTCGGATGAAAGACAAAAGGAAGTACCTCTATGAGAAGAACTGAAATTTGTGAAAATAACATGACACATTTGGTACCAAAAAGAATCAACTTCAGAGGGAAGTGAATGGCTCAGAGCAGCTGGAGGAGGTACAACATTAAACAGTCGTGTTTGGAATTCCTTCAAGGTAATACGGGCTCAGCGTGGGAAATAAGAGGAGACATCAGTTTAGCAAGAGGACTTCTGCTAGCTGTGATATTTTTTGAAGCATGCTGGCAACTGATGAAAGTATTTGTAAAAAACAGTTGCTTGAGGCGCTGCAGCTAGAGGAAACGGTCATGACTGATCAAATTTTATTCATGTTGAATATTCTTCATGTGGAATGTTCCTGGGTAACGGTAAAAATCACTGCAAGGTACCCCTAAAAACTGGAATTCATGTACCCAAAGGTCTAATGTAAGGAATAGCAACAAAGAATTTAGGATTCGAAATGCAGAGTGAGCTGGGCTTTTGGTTAGGGTTTTTTTTGTTCATTTTCAAATCAAAAGCAAAAAATAACGGTTGAACAGACTAACGCTGTTCCGGAGCTACTTCAGCTGCTCAACACTGACCGAGTATGAAAGTACGCATCGCTGTGGCAGCACAACAGCCAGACTGAATGTGTGAGATACTGGAGCAAATCTACGTGTAACAGCAGCATACAGAAACCACCTGTTATCAAAGCTACATTTGTGTGATTCCCATTATGGCAGAAGTACAAAGTGTAAAAAGGTATTTATCATACACAACTGGAACTTCACGTGGTTTAGAGACATAAGGCACAGTATGTTCTCTGATGGAAAGTCGTATTTTTGAAAGAAGTTCTTACTGCAGAGAACCCCTCTAGTACTCAAATCTCTAGAAATTATTAAATACTATGAACAGGTTATAACGGTAAAAGACAAGTCTACCTCTTTGGAATCATAGTTTTACAATTAAGGCCAGAAGGGACCAGTCTATCACCAACAAGGAGATCCTGAATACTGGATGGCCTCCCACAATCCTGACGCAAACTCCCTCTTCTATCTACTTAATGCAACGGGATGAACGAACCGTCCTGCCCTTCCAAAGGAAAAAAAAAAATCCCCTAATTGAAAGTGTCTGCCTTTTCCACGTATCTCTTTACAAATTTTACCATTTGTATCCAATGGCTTTATAAACATAAATGTTATTTTTTTTTCCCCTCAACACATATACAAATACCTTCTTAATGCTCATGGATACTTTATTGACTCTCTACTCCTAACCAGACGCCTAATTTTCAAGCCTACTTGACTGAACTGAATTTCTGCAAATGCAACTTCAGGACTGTTTCATTCTTGCTTTTTTACAAATCCCAGCATTAATAAGTGAGTATTGCTGAAGTCTAGGGGTGGATTCTCAACTGATATTAACTCTGATATGCTCTGCAAATGAGTGGATTTACTCCCTTATCTCCATAGTATTTATTTTCTCCAAGCACCTGGAGAAAGAGGACTGTGACTTAAGAGCTCTAAAGGAAGGAAGAGTTGCAGACTTAAACTGCTACTGACCAAAGAGCGGTTGCGTCCCGAGATGCGACTGTTTAGCTAAACTGATAGGCAACTACCTCTGCCACAAACCCAACAAGAGCACGTCTCAAATTCCAATAACAACTCCTCAACAAACTTTATAATGTTCCATGGTGTGCCATGAAGACATGTCAGCAAAACGAAACACACGTTGGAGATTTCAGAGCATTTCATAAACTGCTTCAACTATCTCATTAATAAAGCACCCAAGATGTTTACCTTTCTCAAGTAGTAGTTACACACTTTGTGCAACACATCTGGTCCTTCCCAGCAACACGTCAAATTTCTTCTTTGCCATGCTGAAACCAGTGTAGCTCCACCTAAACTCTGACCACTCTTCTGCAGAAAAGTGAGACGCTCCTGCTGCTACTTTCCACCCCGAAATTACATCAAACCTTTTGGACAGAAGAACAGCTTGAATGTGTCAAGGGAGAGTCTATGCCATTTTGGTCTTGAAAGATCTGCTCACTTGCCATAATGCGTAAATGCTTGCACTCTGGTATGGGAAAAACTAGCCAGTGAGTCAACAGTCTGAGTTCCTGGCTCTGGTTAGCTCCTGGAAGATGCTTTCAGTACTGTCACTACAGTCCTGTCAAAGAGAGATAGCAGCAGTTTTATCAGCAGGCAAAAAAAAAAAAAAAAAAAAGTAATATCCAAAGTCAAACATGCTTTGAGGAATGGAATATATGCTTAATATTCTTAATGGAATATTACTGGGTGAGAAATATTAATTAATAATTTACTTTCATTACCTCTTTGCCCTCCTTGAGCAATTTGACAGATAAACTTTGTAAGTAAAATGTATTTTTAAATCTCAAATGATGTAAAACGTATCTCAGAAGGCTAATGTCAACCTCTTAATTAGAGGTGGGTTATTTAAGCTACATATGCCATCTTGCCATAACATGGAAGACTTTAATTAGTTAAGGATAAAGGGTGGGGAGAGAAAGATAGGAAGCTGAATTGAGGCCAGTGACAGCAGCTAGTTAATGTCTAAAAACATTATGCCCTAGAAAATAAGTTTGCTACCACTGCTACTCTGAGGGTAGTACCAGCAGTGGTAACCGTGCTGGAAGAACAGACGTACCCACGACCCACAGGTCTGTTCTGAACCACAGTGACACTGGATGAGATTTACACAAGTATTTCAGTACAAAGAAACTGAAAAGTAACTGGAGGATTTAAATAACAGTCTAAGGAAGTTCCTAACTTCTTCTGCAAATCTGTTGGAGTTAAGAACTTGCTTATGTCTCTAAATTTCACTGAGTCCCGACAGGCATCTCTGCATACCCAAAAACTCCAGAAACCTGTCTGGTAAGTAACTACAGCAGGAGAACAGCACTGTGGAAGAATATGGTCAAGAAACTTAAGGGCAAAAGTGGAGGACAGGCTCTGCAGTGCTCAAGACTGGTCAACAGATAAAGTTTCTCACAAAAGCACAGAGTAAAAAGGCACACAACACCTTATGTCAGATGCTTTTTGAGAATCCAGCAACAGCTCAGAGAAAGATTACGATGTCATTTTAGGTCACCGCCATACATCCTCTCCTGTCGTGAACGGCGAGCGCGCTTTCCAGCCTCCTATCTGGTTGCAGGCTATTTTGGGATTTCTTAAGAAAAAGGTGAGTTAGCTCCTATCACTACGCCGCGCTCGCTGCGACAGGAGACAGCCAACAGCTCGAGGACAATACAGTTATATACTTGGCAACAACTGCTGGTAAGGCTTCCAAACCGAGACACCACGAAGGGGAACTTGGAGTGGCACAGAAGAGCTCGTTACACCCCCTGCTTCAGGACCCAGAGGCCAACGGCGCAGGCGGTAACCTCTACCTGCAGGCAGGGTGAAAATACAGGAGGAGTAATTCAGCAGAGTCCTGGACCACGGCTCATCCTTCTCAACACTATAACTCTAAAACAAATCAAGAAGAGCTAAACCAGAACCCTGGGTAATCTGTAATCACGCTGTCGCACATAACTAAATGTCCTTTTTGTTTCTAAAACTCACTGAGAGGCAATACATACATGAGTGGGG